GTTATCCTGGGCAAACGTGGTTTAAGATCAATCTAAATTACATTTCAGCCTTCTTCGGAAACCGTTTTAAAATGGGTCCTGCTAACGTGACTGTAGCAGGAGTGTGGACAGGATATAACTATGAAAAAAACATTTTTCCTTTAAGAGACTGAAGAATTGTCTCTAAAAACATGTTAACCAAGTTGTGAACCAGCCACATTAGCAGAGAACTATTTTTAAATGGTTTCATGCAGTTGGAAATATAGTATAGATAGGCCTTTTAAGATTCACTGAACCTATTCTACAGTTGTACAGATACCTGGAGTACTACACTGTGGCTGACTTAGCATGTTCGTGTACAATGTGATCATATCCACAGAGTTCTGAAAGGTGGCTGACCTCCTCTTTATTATGAAGGTGCAATCGACAGAGACTACAAGTCTCAGCATCTAATACTTTGGGCCAGATCTTTCTGGCATGAATTAGCAGAGTTTCATTGACTTCATTGGAACTATGCCCATTTGTACCACAAGTACATGTGGCCCTCCTTCTTGATCTGAGTGTATTAAAGAGGAGAGTGGCTCCAATCTGCTCTGTTTTATTTAAATTTGATATGGCCTTCATGCTGATGGCAAGTTGCTGATGCAGCCGTTGGCTGACCAAAGCATGGATTTCTTTGTTCTCTCACTTCCAAGACCTTTCCATACAAGGATCGCAATGCACTTTACAAAAATTAAGCAAACAAATCTTACCCATCCTTCTGCGATAGGTATTATGCCCATTTTACATATGTGTAAATTGAGGCATAGAGAGGGTAAATAACTTAAATGCTGTCCTGAACGGAAATGCATTTAAGCATGTGTTTAGCTACTTTCTTAAATCTGGGGCCAAACTCTCTGTGAAGCAGCTATCTGTTGTTTGCAAAGAATCCCTATCAGTGGGAACATCATATACTGGGTATTGCAGATACTGTACAGCATTCTCCAAAAACACTACATCTCTGTTGATCAGAGTGTTTCAATCTCTTCTCACAGTAGGCTATGGACTGAGTTCAAAGAGTCAGAAAGTCATAAAGCTAGAAAACCAGCTCTTTTGAGACTCCCACTGCACTTCACATGCCATGTCTGCATTCAGCTCTCATTACTTTATGCAATCACTTCTTTTTTCCAAAAAAAAAAAAAAAGAACATCCTCAATCTGTTCATAGCTTTAGTTCATTTTAGGGCAACAAACAGCTTTCAGTTCTTTACAATCCACACAAGCCTTCAGAAATATTCAGTGTTTACTAGAACTCTGTAGTGTTAAATCAAGTATGACTATCACCCTTAAAAGCCTAAATGATGGAGTCGTAGCTATACTAATAACATATTTTGACAGTGTCACCACCTGCCTAAGTAAAACAGTTTACTCACCACTGTAAACCTGGAAGATGGAGTCACAAGTTACCAGAATTTCTTTTCAAAAGTTGGCATTGTTATTTGTAATACCCAGACTCTTGATTTACTCAATGGTATAAACTACAGTGTACCATTTCAGAGATAAACAGCTGGAAGGAATACCAGATTCATTCACTCACTCTCTCTCTCTCTCTCATATCCTCTTGGCCTGTTAGCTGGAAGTGGATGGGAGCTGATATTAACGCATACTGAAGTGAGAAGAATCCTGAATAAAATCAGTAAGTGTTAAGAGCCATGAGTGTCTGATTACTTCCTTTGACCACGTGAAAACTTTCTCATAATTCTAACATGATGAAAACATCAATAAAAAGGATGTTTATATTCTGCCACTGGATTTTAAGAATAGGGTTACAGAAAATTGTGATGTTTGCTCTTGCTAATTCCTTGCTAGAGATATTAGAAAACAGAAGTAAAATAATCTTCCCAAATTCAGTTTACAATATCTCCTGGGTACAGAATAAAAATCCTCTTTCCATTTACTTGATCCTCTCAGATTCCTTTATTTAGAAATGGGATTGAGAAGCTACGCAGACCATAACTACGACTGCAAGCCAATAAAAATAAAATGATCTAGAGAATACAAAATGAAAAAGTTGGCTAAATCTTACTACTGCACCTGACTTGGAAGGTTTTTAATTATTTATACTTCAGTTAAAATAGATCTTTAATGATCTATACTTAAGATGAAATCATGAGCTGGGTTTCTTTTTATTGTGGAGTCAAAATTTGGCAAAATGTGGATACTGCAGGATATTTGCTGCAGGGAGCTGTCCAATTCAGCACCATATTTGTACAGTAGACATTCAAAATGAAGCTCAAAAATACAAGTCAATCCTGCTTTCATTTGGGTCCTTTTTCTACATAAATTGTCTCTACCAGGCTGAGATAGTAATTGTGATCATCAAAGCTAATTTTACAGGGGCATTTAATGACTGGGCCTTCTTCGTTAACACTGTATGTGTTTCTTGAATTCTACCTGGAAGGTTTTGAAGGAAGAATGAGATGTGCATGCAAGCAACGTGTGCAAGTTTAGAATGAAAACAGGAATAGCAACAGAAGATTAACCTGAACAGTTAATATTCCTGCACAATCTAAGAAACAATACAATAGAGGGAAAATGCTTTGGTATTTCCTTTCCAGGCCCAAGAACTTCTTAAGTAGATAAAAATTTAAAATGAGAAGCTTTTTACTGGAAAATTAATCTTTTTGGATGAACCAGTAATTTATCCACACTATTTCATCCACTCTAATTTTTTACAGACAATTGTTATAAAAGATAACATCACTGGGCTGCTTATGTTTTGAATGGATTATGTGAAAGACAGTAGAAGAAAAGTGCCTTTAGTAAGACAGATATAGTAACTAATTTATTAATAAACTTTTGGAATAGTGATTACTTATCCTGCCAGAGAATACACTTATAAATACTTGTTAAGGTATCTCCACATTGTGTCTTTCCACTGCATTGTTTCTTCCAGCACTTAACTACTGCTATAGATATTGTAATGTTAAAAGAATGCTGACCTCCCAAAGTGCCTCAGCCCACTGACAAGAATGGGTACATGTCCAAGGCTATTGATTTTCTTAAATGTATCTAAACTCTTCATTTTAGAAAACACCTAAGCATCCTGTAACTGACATTGTTGACTTAATAAACTTCAGCCTTCATTTTAGCAAAAGAAATTGGACTCTTCTGTATTTTTCATTAAGTCATTTCTATTGTACCTGAAAGGAAAACATCGATCCAACTTTCCTCAACTTTGGAAACAAAAGCAAGTTTGGGTTTGTTTCCAGGCAAAAAAAAAAAAAAAAAAAACCACACATTTACAACCCTTCATACCCATCACCAGCATAGCTTAGTGACTGTGAAAATATTTAACTGTTGTTTACAGCAGGCACACAATATACAGTAAGTCATATAATAATCCATGTGGACAAGATACTTCAATGTTTTAATAAGGCACAAATAAAAACTAAAAGATGCAAAATTGGGGAGAAGAAATCCCACTGAACAAAACAGGAATCTAGTTCTAGCTTTATAGAGTGTACACAATAATGGTCTGTTGTATGGCCTCATATGAAATATTTATGTTTTCTATTCATAAAAAGATGTCTGGCAATGGAAAAAAAAACTAATCAAAAAATCTCATCACCTCCATAAAGAGAACTAGGCTTCACACTGTCAGATGATCTTTCAAAGAAAATGATTCACTGCCCCAGGTAAGAAAGTCAAAATACAGATGTAAGTAAACACTTTTTCCTGACAGCTCAAAGGAGAGTGGATTGGATATTCTGCTGAAAACTGACAGTATCTTCAGGTGGTAATGTGCAAATTTGTTGTAACAAGCCCTAAACAGTCAAAAGATAGTGTCTGTCTTTATTAACAACAGTAAGCTGGTCTTTCATGTCCTGTTCAATATAATGCACTATCAACCATTCACTGAGCTGAAGTGACCTTCTCGGATCTCCACAGATGTTAAAGAGGAACATGTCCTGTGAGGACATATTAGCTGCCTCATTAAATGCAGCCTATTTAGTATAAAACAAGTAACGATGTAAACACCATACAGACCAAAGCAACGGTTTTAGACATAGTTTTGTCTGTAGATTGCCCTCTACCTACTTGTTTTTATTTCAGGAAACAAAACTTTGTTTGGAACATGCAGTTTTACTGGAGTGAAATACAGAACTGCAAAATAGCCCTTAGCTTTGTCAACATATTGTCACTTGACAGTCTCTGGAAACTTCACGTTGAAGTGGAGTAATGAATAAGGGCGAGGGATCGCCTTTATGTTTGTTTAATTGTTTAACCCCCCCCCCCCCCCCCAAATGCAGGCTCGGGTGTGACACACTACTGTGGCCTGTCCAAGCACCAGTCACTGCAATTGCAAAATAAAATTTCAGGAAAATAAGGGTCGTGAACAAGACAGCCACGGATAGAAACTACAACTGTATTCAGCGTCTCCTAGCACAGCACCCACCCCTACCAACGCAGTTTGCAAATAGAGAGAGATAACTTTTCCCATGACTAAATGCAGACTTATGATTAGCTGATGCAGGCTTCACTGCCATCATCCGCAAAGAGCGATTTGCGTGAGTGTCCCCCCTAAGTCTCTGAAGCTTGCAAGTGAAGGAGTGCCCAGGGTACAGTAAGTCGCCAAGCCAGGAGTTGCAGAGCAGAATGGGTTGCACATCCCAGCCACCTGCCTTGAAGTTCCCGAGCAGAGTTTTAGCATTTATTATCCTTCTCCTCCCCTTCCCAAGAGAGAGCATGACTCTAGCTTGGCAGTCAACGCCAGCCCCCTTTCTACCCCCTCACCCAACTTCAGACACACTTTCCAGGTGCAGCAGGACAAAGGCTGCGTCTTGGGGTGACGGGTGGGGGACACCTCAAAGCCCCTGGAAACAACACTAGCTACCCACCACAGGGATAGGGAGGGGAAGGGGTCCTGAGCGACTTGTGTCCTGTTTAACCCTTTGCACCCAGTAGCCCCAGCCCTGGGAGCCCCTGGCATCACTCGGCCAGGCCAGGGAGCGTGCGGGACCGGGCAGTCCGGGCACTCACCGATAGTCGTGATGACCGTGATGGCAAAGTAGAAGGAGCCCGCGAATTTCCACTGGACCCCGGCCCGGTGGGGCTCGGACTGCATGATGACCAGCTCCAGCTGCCGGTAGTCCTCGCTGGTGATGTTGTACTTCCCTTTGAGCCGGATCTCCTCGGCTTTGAGCTTCTCCTCCTCCCGCAACTCGTTGTCGGACTCCAGGGCATCAAAGACGGCGGCCCCGACCAGCAGGTAGGTGAACGTGCAGATGATCAGGGACAGGGTCCGCACGTTCTGCCTCTTCATGGCCGCCAGCAAGGGGCGAGTGAGGGGACCATGTCCCCCCCTGGCCGTCCGGGGATCCGACAGGGTGCAGCAGCCGCAGCCGGCGGGGGGGAGCTGCAGGCAGCAGGGGGGCAGCCGCAGGGGGCGGCGGCGGCTCCCAAGGCTCCGGGGCGGCAGCTCCCCGCCTCCCTGCTCGGGCTCCTGGGAGGAAGACAGGCACAGGAGGCTGCTGGAGCGCCTGGACCAGGTGCCCGGCAGCCGGGAAACTCTGCGCAGGACCTGCCCAAACCAAGCCGTCCCAGTGCGCAGGGCCATCCACAGCACCCCCTTAGCGCCTGCAAACCAGCGCCTCCCTCCCCGCTGCCTCCAGGAGTGGGCTGGGGGGGGGAGAGACGAGCCCCACTGTCCTGGGGAAAGAGGAGGGGAGGACCAGTCCTCGCGTGCTGGCGAGGAGAGGCTGAGCAGCACGGGAGGCGGGGGGCGGGGGTGCCAGGCGGGGAAGGGCCGGGGGAGCCACCCAGCAGCAAGGCAGACGCGGTGGGAGGGGAGGCTGGGTTTCTTCTTCTACTACTACAAGTTTCTGTACTCAGGCTGGCGAGGGGGAGGGGAGAAGGGAGGGGGAGGGAGGGGGTTAGGGAGCAGCATCCCCAGCGGAGCTGCCGCCCGGGAGGAAGGGGAATCGCTTCTGGAGGAAAGGCTGGAGGGTCCGCAGCGCCGATCACGCCAGCTGTGCCCGGGAGGTGGGGCAGAGGCTTGCCCGGGACCGTCCCACTCCAGCGGCTGCGTGCGGGGAGGAGGCGTGAGAGGAGCCCTCAAGGGCAGGCTGGCGCAAGGCACCCCGGCGCCAGGGCTGGAGAGGCCAGCCCCAGGCGGCGGTGCCGGTCCTCTTCCCAGACCGGATCGGAGCGATACTCCAGCCCCAGAGCACGCCCCGGGCACTCACAGGGCTCCGCTGGGTTTCATCGCGGGGACCAACTTCTCTTAAAAAATGAATTGTGCCTAGCTAAAGGACTCAAACCGGGCGCTTTGCGGCCTCGGCCCTCAGCCGCTCCCCGCGGAAAGAGCCAGGCTGAAGTCAGGTGGCTGGAGACAGCCGATGCTCGCGAAGAAGATCTGGAAGTCCAGCCCGACTATGAAGGAGACCGTGTCAGACGTTAGCCGGTGAGTTTTCGGCAGCATACCCAGAAAGCTGGCTTTCCTTGCTGGGGGGGGGGGGGAGGAACAAACTCGGGGGTGCAGCTTCCTTCCTGGGTTCAAACCATCAGAGTAACGCACCGCCGGGCAGGAGGGTCCCCTGGGCCACGGAGAGGGGCACAAAAAGCCGAGGCGTTGCCCAGGGTGGACGGACTCAGCAGCCCACCTGGCCGGGGTGGCGGCGGGGACAGGCTCGGAGCAGACACAAGCCCATCAACCTGTCTGGCCCATGGAGGTGAAGCATCAGATCCCAGGGACGCTCATTCCATCCTTTCTGCTGAGGGCAGGAGAAGACACCGAAACCGTCACCCGAAAATACAAGCGGAGCGAGGGGTGTCGCCCCCTCCCAGCCAGACCCCAAAACGGCCACTTGCTCCCGCTCCTGCCCCGCTGGGTTTCTTGGACCGATGCCCTTTTAAAAAGAGCAATTCTCCGCCTCCTCCCAAGCACTTGACAGCATCTCAGGGAAAATCAAGCCACTGCTCCGAAGCATGTCTCTCGCTCCAGGCAGGCAGGGGGAACAGTTCCCAGGCTCACCAACCTGCGGTGGCTTTTGTGAGCTGCTGGGGTGGGTTTTCCCCCTATTAACCCACTCCTTCCCGAGGCACTTTTTATGCTCCCCCTCCCCAGCCGCTCTGCGCCCACCCTGCCTGCAAGAGGCTGGAGCGATGTGTTGCTCCCCTTGGCTCTCTCCTGCCTTGCACCATCGCATGCGACTCGCTCCCGCTGGCTCTGTCCCCTCCCCGCCCCGGGTCCCCTCCCACGCTGTGGCCACTCCCAGCCTCCTCCTACTATGCTCAGCCTAGCGGGGTTTTGCTGGGAGCCACGCACCACGTGGGGCAGGTTTTCCAGGCGCGCTCCCTTCCTTCTTTCACCCTGGCCATCTTCCCGGGGGGGGCAGAAGCAGCAGAAAGGGAGGAGTGGGGGGAGACCCAGCTCTTGCTTCCCTTCCAGACTGCGCTGGATGGAGACGACGCTTTAGATCTTTGCCATGCGCTGGGGCCAGGAGTGAAACCAGTTTCAAACGCGCGCCGCAAAGTTCTCTGCTCCGCGCAGCTGTTGCTAAGCGGCGTTGAGACCACATCCCCCCCCGCCTGCAGCCCTGCTTTTCTGGGCTAGCTCTCGCCGGATGGGCTCGGCGTCTCTCCCCCCGCCCCGCTCCGCTCCTTTGCTCAGGTGTGTCACCCTCAGTTCCTCACCCCAGGGGCCCCCGTGGAAGGCGGGGCTGATCGCTCTACCTAGGGAGGCGGGACCGGTCACCTGCAGCAGGTAAACCGGGCACTGAACAAAGCAGAAGTTACCCGCTAGGTGTGTCCCCCCCCCGCCCCCCCGCGTGGTGGTAATTGCGGGGGGGGCAGCCGGCGGAATCACAGGGCACACCCCAAATCAGACCTCGCGGGGCGCTTGGGCCATATTACGGGCGGCGCGCTGGGTGAAATAAGCCCCTTCGGTAAATACAGGGGCTCAGAGGAGCCGGCTGTTGGTGGTGGTTAAATAAAGCAAACCCCGTTCTAGACCCCGGGGCCGCGCTGCGATTAGCGCAATTATGAATCATGACCGGGCGTGGCTGCCCACGGCCCTTTGCCAGGCGCTGGGAGGAGCCGGGATCTTGCGGGGTGGCTCAGCACTTGCCCTCATGTGGAGCTGATTGGACCCAGCCTCTCTCTCCCACTGGCACTTCCCTTTCCAAGGGGCACCCAGCAGGGAGGCAGATGCCACTTGGCTGCTGCCCTCTGCCCAACGGGGAGGGCACGTCACCCTAGAATCAGAGTATCAGGGTTGGAAGGGACCTCAGGAGGTCATCTAGTCCAACCCCCTGCTCAAAGCAGGACCACCCCCCCACTAAATCATCCCATCTACTCGAAGGCCATTTTTTGCAGCGCAGATGGGTTCTGGGGCCATCACTCAGTCCAGCTGCTAGCCAGAGAGGCAGGGTGGGCTTGTGAAGAAAGCCCTGGGCTGGGGTGCAGGCAGTGCTTGGCCTTGCTGCAGACTCCCTGTATGCCCCCTGGGGAACCCAAACTCTTCCTGCCTTGGAGCCCCATATCACACTACTTCACAGCTCCCGCTCTCCCCGGGTCGGTTGGGATTTTCAAAGGCAGGCAAGGGAATGAGTTGATCACAGGGAGTGGAGTGCCTAATTTATTTAGGGAAACTCTTCAGGACAGGGACTCTCTCACACTGTGTTTGCATGGCCCCTGGTACAATGGAGTTTTGATTCAGATCGGGTCCTCTAGGTGCTACCCTAATCCAAATAAATAACCACCACCCTATTTATTCAAGGCTGACAAGGTCCCATACACAAAGACAGAGTTGGTCAGGGGATAAAGAGAAGAAGCTCTACCACTGCAGTGTGCTATATGGTTTTAATGTTGATTTTCATTTACTTAAAGGCATGGTGATGATGCTCATCGCAGATATTCATGAATGAGGCTTCACAGTGTTCCAGGTTTCTGGATACAGGCAAGTCAGTATGAGATTTCCAAAAGCTTGGGGCATTCTGAAAATCCTGCTATTCTTACATGGCTGAGGCAGGTTTATTTTAGTATGTCTGATTTAGGGCCAGAGCCTGAGGTGTTCACTCAAGTCAAACTCCCCTTGATTTCAAGGGAGACTCTGGAATTTGGGCCTTAGGATGTAAGGCTGGGATTTTCAGAAGAGTGTAAGGGAGTTAGGTGCCCAATTCTCATTGAAATCCAATGGGAGCTGGACACCAAACTCCTGCAGGATCCTTTCAGAGTCCCAGCCTATGTTCCCAAAACCTTGTCTTCCTCAGTGCTTCCACAGTAACTAGGACATTGTGTGGCTCAATGGATGATGACCAAGATTTTCAAAAGTGACTAGTGATTTTGGATGCTCACATCTGAGACAATGTGTTAAGCACCCATCCTCTGAAAATCAGGCCCTTGTAAGGTGTCTCAAGCTGGGATCTCAAAAAGTGAGACACCAAAAATCACAGATTTCAGTGGTAGCCGTGTTAGTCTGTATCAGCAGCAAAAATGAGGACTCCTTGTGGCACCTTACAGACAAGCACATTTATTTGGGCACAAGCTTTCGTGGGCTAGAACCCATTTCATCGGTGGGTTTGTTAGTCTGTAAGGTGCCACAAGGACTCCTCGTTGCTGGGTTATTTTTTTTAAAAAAATCACAGTCACTTTTGAAAACCTTGGCCAATTAGTCTCGTAACTGAATATGCTGTGGGATTAATTGATGGGCAGAGTAATATTTCATTAAGGTAAAATCTTTGTCACGGCAGCTTACACACTTCCACATCCATAACAACGACATATATGTCGGGAAGGGCTCACAGATGTGAGCTATAGTGTCTAACAACAGAGACTGAAGAAAGAGTTGGTTTTTTTGAAACTGAGCAGTCTGATTAAGGTTGCCCATTTCTGATTCTCCAGGGGAAGGGGGGGGTGAGATCTATAAATAGCTTGCAACACAGAGAATCCTACAGCAAAGTTGCTGGGAAGATCAATAGCATGAACCAAGGAGGGCTCTAAATTACATCTTAGGGGAGGGAGGTGCTGAACTGAATTGAAAAATGAGTTGCAAATGCTGTATGTGTTGTGTGTATCTAATTAACAGAGGGTGACTAGGATCAATAACAAGGAAGGAGCTGGGCTAAAAATAGAGCTCAGGCAGGGATTGCAACCTGCGGGCAGCAGCTTGGATGAAAATGTCCCCCTGAGTAATTAACCTTTAGCTGGAAAGTGATGTTTAGTACTGGGCTGAAACGTGTCCTGTGAACAGCCTGGAACTGATTGGGGGTGGGGAGAGAGCTCTGTGGTACAGTACAGTGTGTACAATTAGGCAGGCTAATGCCTGCTTTTTGCCTAGGAGACACCGGGCTAAGGAACTGGTGTATTGTTTTCTGGAAAAATATCTAAGTGCATTCAAAGCTGCTCACATTGCAGTGGGGCTGTGGCAGCAGGAACAATTTCTCTATCCATCTCCCTAGGTACTTATATGGCTCCATCGCCATGATGTTAGAGGGGCCACACACAGCTCTAATCGAGCTTGCTCGCAGCCCAGAGCAGCAAAGCTGGGGCAGCAAAAGCGTGAGCACAGGCTGGACAAAGCTGCCCGGAAGCTTGGGAATTACTCACGGACCCAGCCTGCGCTGAAGGGTCATGGCTCTGGGACCCCAGGCGACCTCAGTCAGGACATGTCCTCAGAGATACAGTTCCTTCCCTGGGGTGTTCCTGAGGCGGTGTAGCTACAGGCTGCCCCTCGCCCAGGGCTAATGTCTTAATGACAATCTAGATGGGGAACGTGGCAGGGGGAGGGGAAGAAGAGGAAAAACAGGAAAGGGACTGTCTGTTTCTCTGTGTTCGTACACCGGCTAGCACAATAGGGCTCTGATTCTTATGGGGCCCTTTATGCACTATATGACACATCCAATTTAAATAATAAGCCAGGACTGTTTACCATAGATCTTTTGTCCTTCAGAAGCCAGGATACTGAGACAGAGGGAGAGACATTTCAGCAAAACATGGGTGATAGAAAATTACTCTAGGCATTATTTTGAGTGGTGACAGTCACTTATTTTCACGGAAGGTGATCAGACGGAAGGAGTGGTTATTGCCACCCAGTTTACGTGAGGCGAGTTTCTGATCAAGGTTTACAAATTCAGAACGATTCCCGTGCTTGATAAGCGAGAATTGCTATGCTTGAGAAAAGCACCCAGCTGACAGTGACTGAGGACGGCTCTGCAGAGTTCCCTAATAAAAGTTCTTTCCTGTAATTTTCAAAATGGTTCCGGGAACGAGCAGACTGTGAATGAAGACTGTGCTTCACCATGGAGCTGGAGCGCTGAGAAGAGCTTTGCGATTTTAAATGAATTAGATTCAGTTTAAAATGTAAGGCCTGATCCAAAACTAATTCAATGGGAAGCTTTCCACTGACTCAGTGGGCTTTGGATAAGCCCTTGACTGTGAAATTGTTTTCACATAAAACTATCAGGGCCTGATTTTTACTGATTATTATTATTTATTTGTATTACTGGAATGTCTAGGAGCCCTACTCAAGCACCAGGACCCCATTGTGCTACTCACTGGCCAGACATAGGGCAGTTCCTGTTTCAGAAAGCTTTACAATTTAACTATGGGACCAGAGACCACAATTCTACCACTGGGATCACAATCTCTGTTCTTGGCATCTGTTTTCATCACACTTGTGCTTTTATGAACTCAGTGAAAAGTTTATTGATTACATACTTATTGTGTCACCGGCAAGGGGAATCCTACTCCTGTTTAATATATGAACATTTCTGTGTTCGTACTGCAGTAGTTCAGGGTAATGATGGAGGAGAGGACCCTAACGACAGTAATGCCTAGCTCATCTAGTGGATCTCAAGTACTTTGCAGAGGAGGTTAGTATCATCATCCCTATATCACCCATGGAAAAACTGAGGTATAGAGGGATTAAATGACTCACCTATGGTCACCCAGAAGACCAGTGGCAGAGCAAGGAATAGGATCCAGGTCTCCTGAGTCCCAGTCTAGTGCTCCATTTACTAGACCACACTGACCTTGCCAAGGAAGTTTTCTTTCCTCTTTTTTCCTTTGGACGGTCCACTGGACTAGAGGGGAGCTTCACTTAAGTTAGGTGTGCAGGGCCAGGTCACCCATTCTTCAGTGTTTTTCCTTATCAAAGTCACACCTGTACAGCTGAAGGCAGAATTGAGACTTCTGCTCTAATACTTACCCCTATTGCTAGATACTAACGTGGCAGTCACCCTACAAAAGACTTAAGACAAGGGAAAACTTACATGCCTAGTTTCATTGACTTCCATGGGACGGCTCATCTGAGAAAGATTTACACATGGGAGTAAGGGGTGCAGGATCAGCCCCCATTTCTAATTTTTGCCATTCAGCTTTCTTTTTACTGGGAACATACTAAAGTGAAATCAACTTAGGTAGCAGGAATTCGAGCATCTGGTGCAACCTAAATAGTCTCCTCTGTTCTATTTTTATATTCGTGTGTAATTTTTATTCTGCAGAGCTTGTATGTGGCAGGAAGGGGGAGTTCAGCAGTCAAGCCAAAGGTCTCTTCAAGAGCCACCATGGGGGACATTGAAAACAATATTGGAGAAAACTGATGTGCTTTGCCTTTTCTACATCACTCAGCAGAGCAGAAGGGGCCATCTTTTGTCTCCAGAAAATAAATAGTTGGAGGCACCCTGGATTTATAGACCACCCTTTTACATTAAAAAGTGTTGGGCCACTTCCTAAGCCCTTCAGATATTTTTCTCCCCTCTTAGGAAAATGTTTCTCAGAGTGCATCCAGTTCCCATTCCCCGCCTGAGGTCTTTACATGGCCCCGATCACTGTAGTAGGCGAGCATCTCGCAATCTTTACAGCACTTGTCCTCACAACACCCTGGTACTATAAACCTCATTGTACAGAGAAGGAAAAGTACTTACCCAAGGCACACAAGACGTCTGTGGGGGAGCAGGGAATGAAACCTGGGTAAACTAGGACCCCAGCCACTGCTGGGCCATCCTTGCTCTCTTCCGAGGAGGATGTATTTAATGCATTCCACTCAATCTGGATGTGTATAGCCAAGACTCCGTTTTTATCATTACTAGTCATTTGTATGGTGGTGGCGCCCACAGGCCTTGTTGTTCTAGTTGCTACACAAACTTATAGAAAAACAAGGCTTCTACCCTAAAGAGCTTACCATCTAGGGCCCTGGTGCACGTATACTAAACACACATATGCATGGAACCACTTATAAAGAGGGGTAGCGAACTGGATAGAAAGAGGAGGTGGACAAGACTTGAAGACGATCCTGAGTTTGAGCAAGGGAAGGATGGAAGAAGTGCCAATGGTTATTCAGAGGGCAGAGGAGGAAATACCATGACTTGAGTTTAGGAGAGAATAAAATTATTGTATTTTTAGTCATTCATTTTTAAACCTTTTAAAAAAACAAACACAGCACTGTTAATATGTAATTAATATGTAATTAATATGGTAATTAATATGGTCACTTAATCAGGATGGACCCTCCCCTAATAATACCACCACCAAGCCAACCCTGCTGCATTAGCTTGCTATCAACTGCATGGGCAAGCAGCATAGCACCTCATCTTTATTCAAACGCTATAAATATCAGAGCTCTCTCACCTCACAAGGGTGTCGGGAGGATTAATTAGTTAATGTTTACAAAGCACTTAGAAAATGTAAAAAGCACTAAGTGCTAAGTATTATTGTTATTATTATTGCGTTATAATGGAAGTAAGAACATAGCAGAGTCCTACATCTAAACAAATTCAATTACGTTTTGCTGTGCAGATGTCTCCTAGAGCCACATTCTAAAATAAATCTCAGCCTGGATATTCACAAAAGGCTATGCTGTTTCCTTGAACGGAAGATTATTGTTTTACTTTCTAAGAGCAAACGGGCCATGTATCCTAATGAAAGTTTGGCTGAGAAACCAAGAGGGACAAACCAAGGCCAA